GGGGGAGAGGGAGGATAAGGGAATTTTTATTGGACTACATAAGCGAAAAACGCTAACAAAACATAAATTAGGTGTTGTGTTCCACCCGAGTATACTGTACAGTTGTTTAGTTTTTAGCCGACACTTCCACTTACTTACCTCTTGTAGCTCTGTCTGCTCTATAGAGATCATTTTACTTTGCAAGGCATCATTCTCGTACTGCAGTTGTTTGATGAGCTCCTGGGAAGAAATCCTAAGAAACAACAGACATAGCTATCTTGAAAATTGATATAAACAAGATTATCTTCGTATCGCTTTATCGATCATTGTGATGCATTCTGCGGGCTACAATGGAGATTGTTCGGACTGCTTTTTTTGTCAGTTTTTTTTTTTTCAGTTTTTGTTTTCTCAGTTTCGAGCCCTTCTTAAACTCATTTTAACTCTTGAGTCGGGCCCAAAACATTTCTATGTCCGCGAACACTCATCTCCATTGTTTTAGTATTTCATTGAATGAAAATCTAAAACAAATCATTGGGAGTTAAAACAGTTTCTTTGAGTAATGTGTGCGCCAATAATTCGCAGTTACACCAGTTACAGCTGTACAGAAAATAGTTTGCGCTACGTTAAAAATTATCCAAGAAAGCTTGCAAACGACACTTGAGGGAAAAACTTCCACGGACAAAACTTTTGCCCAATCCCTCCTAGCTTAGATGGCAAGTTTCTTTTCTAAGACATCTCGGATCTCCGTCAACGAATGTAGCCATTTATGACAAGTCCTTATCTCCAAAAACTGGCATGTCCTTTCTGGAAACTAGAAGTTACCAAGCTAGGTCACGTCATATTCATTTCCATCTGCACTACCAAGAAAGATGTGTCAAGTATAAATGCGTCTTTAATATCCCATAAACAGCACTCACTTATCTCTGCGAAGTATGTTTAGTTCGCTGTCTTTTTGTCCCATCTCAGTTTGAAGCCGTTCCATAGCTTCCTGTAGCTCTGCGTGTGATTTCATCAGACTTTCTATCGTGCTGGACAGCCGTCCACTGTTTTCCCGCGCATCGCTAAGCGACCGTTGCAGTGAGTCGACCTGAAAACAAGTAAGTTACGACTTAATGAAACAAAAACAAAAAATACAGATAAAACAAAAACACAGAAAATCTTACGGTGTTTAACCATTTTCACTCTAACATTGGTATTTGTCTTATCCACACTCTTCTCTTCACATTTCCTGTTATTGACAAGGGGAATTTGTTTGACAATGAGGAGCCTCTTAAATGGTGATCATTTCCTTGCTTCTTATAACCTTTAAATTTGATTCAATAGTGATACTGTAGGAAGAAATTAGACTTCAGTCATTCTTAGGAGTTAAATGGTTACCTTTAGTCGCAACAGGCCATGGTATAAAAAAAATGTACTGGAATCGTTTCTTCTCCTTCGGAGCTTTCCACGATCTTTATAAAACTGGATTCATTAAGAATACTAGATAAAACTTCAGCACTACTGAACAGATCTGACCAGAGAGTTTTGATTTACATGCAGAACCCTAAGTGAGCTAAACTAACTGAAAATTATAGATTGCTTAGCTGCCGATAATGTTTTTGAATTCATTCCCTTTACATTTGAGAATGTGGCGATACCTTGTCACTGTGCTTTCTCTCCAAGCTCTCTGCATGTTGCACAAGTTTTTCCACCTCTCTCAAAGCGTCCTCTCTGGACTGGATAACTGATCGTAAATCAGAATCCTTCCTGCTACTTGCTGACTGACCCTCCGAGAAAAAAAACCAAGTCGCTATTATATCTAACTCCATGCCCACCATTTCTCATGTTTACGGATCAAAATATTTAAATCACGTTCAGCGCAGATCTGCTGACTTTTTTCTCGCAGCAAGAGGAGATTAGCAATTACAGATTTCAGTAACGGTTCTTTCAAGGTGATGTTCACTGGAGCCAATACAAGAAAACAGAAGTCTTGTGAAAGATCGTAATTGCTGCGAAGCCTCCACGATCAGGAGGAGACCACTGAGGAGGTAGCAGTGTCAGAGGTCCTCCGATCGCCTACGGAAATCTCCGGGGCATCCTCGGAAGTGTTCGGATATGATTGCTTCGATAATATAAAATCTGTAATTGTCTAGACAAAAATCGCACGATCTTTAATGAAATAAAGTAAGCAGAAAAAAAACTCCCTCTCATTGACTTGGTAGCCAGATTTACTGTTTCCCTTTTCCTGCAAACTCATGAAAATTTAGCAAGTTCATACAGAGGATTTCAATAAGCTATCTATCATTGGCCAAATTCTATGAAATTGCATTATTAGTATTTCGCTAGGAATATTACACAAGTTGTAAGAATCAGAACGAAAAAAACATTTACCTCTCTTATTTGCGATTCCAGTTTCTTTATTGTGCTTTTACATGACTGCACGTCAACTAAATTCTAAAAGTGGGACGAAGGACAACACAGAATTTCATTTTCGAGCGTTTTTCAATTGAGCTATCAGGCAAGTTTGTGACGACTGTGAAGGGTGTGTCACACGTGAAACGAGCGCGAAGGGCGTGCCACGAGCGAAAGAATCATTCAATTTTCGTGTTCCTTTCCTCGCGCGTTTCTCGCTCTTGGAGCTCGCCTCATGCTTCCTGAACCCGCCTGAAATACGCGAACAAAAAAAAAAAAACGCCTTCTGTTTTGCAGGCTAAGATGTAACAAGTGTTTAGAGACATCAACATTCACGAAAGTAAGAGATAAAAATTAAAAACACACACACACGCACACACAACTTGTTTGAGTCAAAAATTAACAGAATACCTTGCTCTGTTGGGTTTGTAAATTACTGTTGATCTTTCTGAGCTGTTCAGCTTCGGCCTGTAATAAGACAGTAACTGAAAAATTAACACAGTATTTTGAACGTAGCCAAAGACCGAAAATACTCAGCCCCCTGAATATGTATGAAATCGGCTTGGAAAAGTGCCCTGCATTCTTTAAATACAACAATTTTTAACCCGTACCTTAATAGCTCCAAACGATTTTAATTCTTGCTGAAGATGTTCGACTCGCGACTGTAGAAAACAAGAGAAAAACATAAAGTGTTTGTTAAGATTTTCAGTAAATCACCGTACACTTTCGATCGTTTAACATTCAAATTCATGAAATGAGTTAACCGATGTTATCATTGAAACGTATTGAAAGTAATACTGGACAACAATTTGTCCTCAGTTACCTGTAAGCTTCCCTTCTCAAAAGCTAGTCTGTTTTTCGACTCCATCATGCCTTTCATGGCTTCCTCAATTTGGCCTTGACTGACCTAAATGTCGAAAATAACGCAAGCTTTATAAGGGTATCACAACAATTTTACTGTCTAATATCAAAGACTCGGATCCAAGCCGGACTCGGATCAATGTCAGTATCTGAGAGGGTAAAAATTGACCACTGGCGACCAGAATTTAGTCTTGGCAACGTTTTTCATGTCAACCAATCCTCCAGAAACGAAACGTAGGTCATTTTTTTTTTCATTGTGCTTCTAAACTTTCAACTGATGATCATTCACGAGAAGGAACACGATTTAAGCACAGAAACTTTGAAACTTTGCGTTTTCGTATGTTGCTGAGGCGAAAATTTCATGAATCGGATCCTGATTGCATTAGTACCTGTTTTTCCTCCAGAGCACAAATTCTTTCCAGTAGTTTCTGATTTTCTTCTTCAAGCAACTTCTTTGATTCTTCCAGGCCTTGAATCTCTCCCTAATAAGAAAGTTAATTTAGCGGATAAGAAGACAATAACACGTTATTTGCGCAGTTACAGGTTAGAGCGCTTGGCTCCGTGTCTGGGCAGGACACCTTAAGCTCTCTACTACCAGGAATAAGGATAGGTAATAGTGAATTACCAGGGAAACACCTGATTCGATATTGTGACATATACTACGGGCGGATATTTTGCAAGTTACCTTGTATTTTTCTGAGCCCTGTAGGGGCGCAGAATGAAATGCGAGCGATGAGCCTGAAGTTGAAGTTTCATGTTTAATTACCTCAGCATCTTTCAGCTTTCCTACAACTTTGTCCCTTTCATTTGAAAAATCGCTAACAGCCTGGTTCACCTGAAATATCAATAATCATTCAAGAAATGACAGCCATTTATTTGGCGTATAATTTTTACGAACTAATAAGAAGCTACAAAATCCACCCGTCAATGTAGATGTACCTCATTTCTTACGACGTCATTTTCTTTAGTCAAATGCTCTCTTTCCCTGGTCAATTCTTCTATCTTGGTTTGCAGAGTAAATACCTCCCTGTCCTGAAAATCACCGAAATCAAGCGAAATGTCACTCAACGCTTTAGGATTTGGACAAAGAGAGAAAATCTTGAAACGTGGCTCAAAGAACTAGCCGCGCACAATAGAAGCAAACCAAACATCCACCATATTTACTAGATCGACTGCTACCGATGATTATTAAGTGCCTCATTTAAGAGAAGAAATGTAAGAAGATGCTGTCCCCCATATTCTCCAAACTGTTCTCTAAACATTTCCTAAAGTGCTGACAAGGAGAATTTGTGCCACAATCAAGAGCTCTTTTAGTTCCTGATCATTTCCTTTATTCTCCTGACCTCCATGAGTGATTCAGTGATGATATTGTAAAGAGAAATTAGATGCTAGTCAGTCTAAGTTGACAAAGGGTTAAGTGAGTAACTACAGTAAATACAGAATTACTTGCTCTTACAAATTCCTGTTTCAGTCGCTCAGTCTTGCCTCTCTCATCCAACAATTGCTTGTGGAGCGTGCTAATCTCTTCTCTAAGAGCAGATCTGGATAAAAGTTCAGGTTGACATCAATAAAATAAAACAAATCACACGTTCAAGTGATAGGAGATGCACTGCTCACCACAACTCTTTACAAGCTAACATCAGTGTTCAAATTCTCCACACTGTTCCCTATACATTTCCTAAGACACTGACAAGGAGAATTTGTTTGAAAATCAGGAGCTTCTTAAATTGTTGATCATTTCCATTTTTCTAATGACCTTGAATTTTATATTTGATTTTGTAAGGAGAAATAAAAAGCTGGTCAATCTTTGGGCTTAAAGACAGACATCTATATTTATACAGGACAGACAGACATCTATATTTATACAGGATAGCCCCTTCAGTGTAGTAAACACTGGTATCAACGGGGGTCCTGTTACCCACCCATCCCACCCCAGGGGAGGACATCCATCACACAGTAATCTCGTGCGTGGGAAATTAACGTCTCCTGCCCCTAACCCTGCAGGAGACAGGACCTTCATTTATTCATCTATTCATTAGAAGACTAGAATATCTAACCATTTCATAATGTTATAGAAAGGCAGCAAATTCTTCTCAATTATTTTAAGACCTTGAGTGTTGGTCCAGCCGGGACTCGAACCCTTGACCTCCCGCACAACAGTCCAGTGCACTATCCATTGGGCTAACTGGGCGGCGGTTAAAATGGGATGTTAAAGAACCAGCATGCACTTCTTGAAAAGAGTAAGGAACACACATGTAGCTCCTGGTGTTGTGGACTGGGCTTCTTATCTTTTATACAGGCCCCTATTTAAACTGGCTTTAAAAAAACTGAATAGGCCATTTTACAGTTGTGTACTTAGTTGCCAAGCATTTGATTGAGTGAGGCTAAAGATGACCTTGTCGTGATAGAGACCTGTATCTAGTTAGCATGATAACAAAGTGATTGACATTTGAAAGGCACCAAGGTTTGTATCATAACAAGGTCATCCCTAGCCTCACTCCCATTCAAAGGCTTGGCAACCAAGCACACAGCTGTAAAATGGACTATTGGGTCAGTCTGTCTAAATATCATAAAAAAAAATAAATATCGTAAATGACATCTAGAGAGTATACAGGAGCCTGACAAATACCTTAAGATCTTCATAACTCTTGCGAAGAACTTCAAATTGTTGTCTCAGTTCCTTGTTCTCTGTCCTGAATTTTGTTACATCTGCATTTAATGTCTATGAGAGCAAAACAGATATTCGACCGATGAGTCTGCATCAAAAATACCCCTTAATTATCAATTCATCCTTTCACTTCCAAGATCTCATTAGTAATTTTCCTTACTGTCTGCTTTACATCTCTTATGACGCTGGTTCTGAGTATTTTAGTATTTGGTGGCTAAATGTAGGTGAGACAAACCTTTCTCTCCGCTGTAAGAGTAGCTAGTTGAGAATCAGAGTTTACTGTAAAATAAGAAGACATATTTATGAATAGTTAGAAAACAGTACACTGATATTGTGTGATATCAAATCATTCAGCAATATTGTTTAGTAGTGAGAAATAAGGTGGCCCTACAGTTGGGTATACTCTGGGTTGAGAGATCCTGGAATACTCTGGGTTGAGAGGTCCTGGAATACTCTGGCTTGAGAGGTCCTGGAATACTCTTGGTTGCAAGGTCCTGGAAAACTCTGGGTTGAGAGGTCCTGGAATACTCTGGGTTGAGAGGTCCTGGAATACTCTGGGTTGCGAGGTCCTGGAATACTCTGGGTTGAGAGGTCCTGGTTCAAGACCTGGATGGGTCAATGTCTTGTGTTTGGGGTTCACACCCTTTTTTAGAGAAAAATTTCAAGGACTTTCCCAGGACTTTTCCAGGCCCAGATGATTTCTCCAGAGCTCCAAATTTGACTTTTAACCCTTTCAATCCCCCATTTCAATTCTCCTCCTTACAGTCTATACACACTGATTTCTTAAAACATCAATTCTGAAAACTTTATTGCTTGATTTAAGCAAATTTCTAGGACTATCCAGACCCTGCAGTCTTTTTCCAGGTCTTTCCAGTCGTGGAAAATGTTAAAATAAAATTCCAGGATTTTCCAGGACTTGGACAAACTATGTGTTTTGGGGAAAACGCTTTCCTCTCACAGTGCCTCTCTCGGAGCACAACAAAAGGGTACTGACAAACTGTCAGGGAAGCCTGATGAAATATGGGGGGGAGGGGGGTACNGAGGGGAGTACTGACAAACTGTCAGGGAAGCTTGATGAAATATGGGGGGGTACTGACAAACTGTCAGGGAAGCCTGATGAAATATGGGAAGGGGTACTGAAAAACTGTCAGGGAAGCCTGATGAAATATGCAGGGGGGGTAACCTTGCAATGGAATGTCATCCCATCCAGGGGGGGAAGTCATGATACTCCCCACTGCTTCATACTGTGGAAACCAGTGTCAAGCTCTGGTTAGATTAGGGCCGCTAGACTAGACTCAAGACTAGACACTAGACACTAGACACTATACTTAAGCGCTGAAAACTGTTAAGTAACACTTTTCTCGTTTTTAAAGAAATGAATCACATAATTCTTGAAGGTCAAAATCTGCCACTGAAACAGAAAATTTCAGACTACTTTTTAATGCAAGCTGATAAAAATTTCATTGTTTATATTGTTGGATAGAAATACTGAACCTGTCCCTTCCTGAAGTTGAGTGACAAGGGCTTCTAGTTGTCCCTTAGTTCGCTGAACCTTCTCCAACTCTTCTCTGGCTGATACTGCCTCCCTTCTCAGTGTTTGGCAGTCCTGTGCTAATGTTTGAACATCCCCACGCCCAGACTCTACAATCTTTTCCATATCCGATACTCTTTGAAGAAGAGAGAGATGTGATTCTTCAAGGCTTGATCGAAGATCTTTTTCTCTTTTTAATTCCTCTGTAAGCTAAGAGAAAAAAATTATTTCATGATGACTTGGATGCTCCAACTTCAGATATACAGCCATTTAACCCCCACAAGTGATTAACATACAACCTCTCCACATAATATCCATACATTATCCAGTAAACAGGTAGTGAGAATACTCAACCTTGTTAGGTAGAAGCTATCTCGATCTAACACCAGATTCTAATGATGTATTTACATCGAAATGTCTAGAAGCTATGGGGGTAAATTAATAATCAGATCTTGGGAATTAAAGGGCTAAATTGGAGCTGTTTCTGACTGCAAAGGAGACTGAAGGAAAAAAAAAAAAGCATTGAACATTTACAGTCCTTCGAAGAATAGTTCAAATTAATTTTGCCTTTGAATCAGGAAATAATTCCAATTTATTGGTCTTTACTTACCTCGTTAATTTTCTTAGTTGATTTTTGTTTATTCAGTTGGAACTCTTCCACTTTCAATCTGTTCTGCTCGTTAATTTGTGTGGACGTGTCCAGCTCCGAAGCAAGTCGCTTCACCATAGTCTGGCTTTCCTTCTTCCCTGCCTCGCAAGTCTCTAACTCTTTTTTATACCGATGCAAGTCCTTTCTAAGTTTTTTAATCTCATTCTCGTACGTATCTTTAGGTAAAGGTGCCATATCTGGCTCCTTGTCTATCATAGCAAGATTCTTCTCAGCCTCAAGGCTACACATTGCAAGTTTTAAAGATTGAATTGTACTTTCAGCACGACAAACTCGCGAAACCATTTGTTCATAGTTTCGTTGAAGAATTTCTATTTCCGGGGAGATCGATCCCGAGGCTTTAAATGGATGAACGGGATCTATCCTCCCACTTTTTCCATTTTCAGCATTGTCGGCGCGATCTCTACTGAAACCGTAATCAGCTAATTGATCGACTAACTTTTTCGTCTCTTCTTCAGCCATTTGTAACCGACGCTGCATCACTTCAAAAGTGTGTTGTGGGGACGAATTCGAACCCGATCGCATCGTTGGAGAGATGACTTTACGGCTAATTTTCTCTACTGACATAATCAACTCATTGAATTAATCCACAGTAAAACTTTTAACCATCTTCGTCTATCTTGTTTGTTTTCAGTGACATCGGTTTGCATTCCGCCATTTTGGAATTTCCGCCATTTCTGCTACAATGGGCCAATCATACTTCAGCCTCATTCTCAGTATTTCGATCATGTATGGTAAGTAAAATATACCTACAGGTAGCTCTTTTCTCCAATTTTTTAAATCGCTTTTATTCATACAGGTCTCCCATTTTTTTCAGTTTGCAGTTCTTTCCCACTTTTCATTTACAACTGGTTGATTCATCTTGCACATGGCAGAGTTTGTCCCCCTTTAATTTTATTTTTGTTGGACCAAACTAGAGAACATTGAGTAGCCCAGAAGGCCCATCTTTACAGCTTGGGTGACCAGAAAAAAGTGATTTACTCAACCATGATTTTTAGGGTAGTTTGCCAAATAAGAAGCAAAGTTATGTTACTAATATGCAAACACGATGCACACAAACATGTTTTTCTTTCTGTATCTTAGGAAACAAGAGTAGTCTTTGATGATTGTCAGTGCCGCTTCAGTGAGCCTTATCTTCCAACTACCACAATCATTGTCACAATCATCATCAATGCAAACATAGCCTTTGACAGGTTCATAAAAACCCTACAGCATAGCACGAGTGGCAAAGCCTATGAGATTCCAGCCAGTTGGGTGACAAGATGAAAAGAAATGATCACCCACAAAAGAAGCTTGATTGTTAAACAAATTCTCCTTGTCAGCACCCAGGAAATGTATGGGTAACAGTGTGAAGAATATGCATACTGATGTGAGGATGTAAAAGGTTAATAAAAATTTCCGGTTAGCTCAATGGATAGAGCGCTGGACTGTTGTGCGGGAGGTTGAGGGTTCAAGCCCCGGCCGGACCAACACTAAAGGTCTTAAAATAATTGAGAAGAATATGCTACCTTTCTATAACATCAAGTAATGGTTAGATATTCTAGTCTTCTCAGATAGCGACGAATAAATGGAAGTCCTGTCTCCTACAGGGTTGGGGATAGGAGACAATAATTTCCCACGCATAAGATTACTGTGTGATGGATGTCCTCCCCTGGGGTGGGATGGGTGGGATTTATTGGGTGGACTACTCACATGGATGGCATATGTTCGTTTCTAGTCCTACCCTACTGCGGTAATGCATTGAAAAATGGCCAGAAAAGCGATAAAACTTGTCAGAGAAAATGGAAGCAATACAGAAAAAGTCAGATAATTCATGTTTGTCGTCTGAGTTGAAAATGTAAATTGGCCATTGTAAAAAGTTTCTAAAGCAGATGTTTAGAGTGTTAGTCCTTCATCACATTTTGTTTCCTGCACTTTTCACTTTTTGGAAGGGCTAATATAAGGCTTTAAAAAATCTTTATGATGGCCAAGTTTAATTAAAAACCAAATTATTTTGTTATACTCCCCCACTGACACAGCACCACAGTTTCTTTAGAAATGCACCCCTTTTAATAATTTTTGTTTTGGCTCATACCCAGACTTTTGAACATGGATCATTAACCTAGTCCTTTCCCTGGAATTGTGTCTAAAAAATCAAAAGCCTACGAACAGTCTTTAAGAATTCAAAGTGTTTCGCGATTCCTGTAGCTAACAGTCAGTCAGCTTTAGCTTGCACTTTCTCCTCTTTCTCACTCTCAGTTTTCAAGGCTGACTCAACCCAATCTGGTAAATCAGGACTCCATCGTTCCACGGAGATTTTCATTGGCACCAGAACATTATCCCTGACCTCTATATTGACCTCAAAGTCTCCAAATGTTGTTATAGGTTCTTCAAGTTTTACACAGTGTACTGGTACAAACAACTCAAACTGCGATTCGTATTCCAAAGCTATATGATGCTCATTCACCTCAAAAAATCCGCTCCCTTCCTTTCGTTGAATTTTCAACTGAATGTTTTGCAGAAATTTTAAAAATCTCGGACACACAGGTGTTTCCGGGCTGTCGTCTACAGCATCAATGCTAAGAAATCGTTTCTTGTTTTCCTCCGTTGCATAGATAGCAAATCCTTCAGGTACCAGAACAGTTCTGGCGTATCCGGCTTTCACAGAAATCATTTTTCCTGCTTCGCCAAGCTTCTCGTGCGCATCCAACAGAATAACATTCAGCCTGGAAGGGATTTTGATGTCTGGTAGTCTTTTCTCAGGCTGACCTTTATCATCAAAAACCCAGCCTTCCTTTCTCATTTTTTTTATAGTTTTCTTCGTATATTCTCTCTTTTTCGCCATGGACCTCACACATGTCTTAGATACATTCTGGATTTATAAAATTTGACGAGAGATACGAAACATATTTCACCGCTATCGATGCACTTCAAGAATCAAGCATGGCGCAGCAAATCGATAAAACAAGCACTTTGATTGGTTGCTAAAAAATGACCACTGACAGAGAACGTAAAATCTATACTTCTGCATTTTTACCGCTGACCTCGAGAACACTTAAAAACCAGGACGTGGAAGATAGAGACCTGTCTACACAAGCCGTAGCTAATTGTTCCACATCGCACAAAGATGCAAAAACAGTTAAAAGAATTTGGCTTAGGTGCTACAGCAGCCTGTGGAGCTTGCCTTTTCACAAATCCTCTGGAAGTTGCCAAAACACGGATGCAACTTCAGGGGGAATTGAAGGCGCGCGGAACCTACTCGGTGCATTATAAAAACGTTTTCCACGCGTTTTACACGATCGGTCGTTACGACGGCCTCAGATCATTGCAGAGCGGACTTGTTCCCGCTTTGGTTTACCAAGCTGTAATGAATGGATGCCGGCTGGGCTCTTACCAAGTTTTTACGAACTTAAAACTGACTGCCAACGACGACGGTGAACTTGTGTTTTGGCGTTGCCTAATTGCCGGTGGCATTTCGGGAGCTACTGGAGCTTTTTTAGGGAGTCCGGCATACATGGTCAGTACTTAAGAATATAAAGATTCTCTGTACATTTAAGCTTTTAGATTTCATTATATGTCACGCTACATTCGCTATCAATCAAGAAATGAACGACAAATCATTGTCAAGTAGATTGCGTGACAGTCACACAAGTTTCTAATCTGCTGAGAGTTCAGATGCCCTGAGCAAGGGCTAACGTTCAATGTCTCAGTTTTCGAAGCTCTTTATAGTTTATAATTTACATTATCAACTCAGTGGATAAAACCAAATTATCTTGTAATACTCCTCACTAATACAGCACCACAGTTTCTCCAGAAACTTACCTTCTTTATTCATTTGTCTTTACTATTGGTTTCTCATCAGCTGTTAAAAACTTGCAGCTTAGATTTAACTCAACTTGCAGCTTCACGCCTTACACCTTAACATCAGTATGCATATTCTCCATACTGTTCATTGTACATTTCCTAAGCTGTTGTCAAGGAGAATTTGTGAAACAATCAAAGAGCTTCTTTAGTTGAGGATTATTTCCTTTATTCTTGTGACCTTAATGATTGTGTGATTCTGGATGATTTTGTTAGGAGAAATTAGAATATGCTAGTCTCTCTTAGGGTCATTACATGAATCCCCAATCAAACCTCAGTGAACAGTAATTTAAACAGGGATCAAGGCAATGGCCACATACAAGTAAGAATTTTTCTGAAATAGCCCACTTTACATAGCTGCTGATATGACTTGCGTTTTATTTTCAAATTCTCTAAGGTAAAAACCCAACTTCAATCTCAAGCTACAGACACTATAGCAGTTGGATTCCAGCATAGACACACTGGCTTTCTTCATGCAATATCTGGTATTTACCAGCAGTTTGGCATCAATGGACTATGGAGAGGAGTCAGTGGTGCTCTCGCCCGTGTCATGGTTGGATCTGCTGTTCAGTTATCAACTTTTTCAACCACTAAGGAAAGGATTTTGCGAACAAATTTCTTTCCAGCCAGGAGCTGGCTTATTCCAGCTTCTGCTAGCATGATAAGCAGTATAGCGGTGGTAACATTTATGACACCTTTTGACGTGGTAAGTACACGCCTTTACAACCAAGGAACCAATGCAAGTGGTAAGGGACTCTTATATAATGGATTTGCAGACTGCTTTATCAAAGTATTCAAACAAGAAGGTGTTTTAGGGTTGTATAAGGGTTTTGGACCACACTATTTTAGGATTGGTCCGCACACAATCCTGAGTTTACTCTTCTGGGATCAACTTAGAGTGTTGTCTTCCTCGTATGGCTTTTAAGGAAGACATGATGTCTGGTGTTGTTAATTTCATTAATATATTGTTTATTGCTCTTTATCTGATAAGCTGAATTATCCATGCATTTTTACTGGTGATATCACCATCAACAACGTTTTTCTTTTCATATGAATGTAAAAAAAAAAACAAATTGGGGAAAGTCTTTAGAGCTATAGATCACAGAAGATCACAGATATATATAATTATTACATGGCCATGTGGAGATATGAATTTTATCTTTGAGTGCTGAGATACTAATCAGCACATATGATTTTTTAGTAACAGGAAAAATCTTGATATTTCATCAGTATCTATATAATAAATATATGTTTATATATACCGCATTTTGCTATCTTTGTATAAGCTTTGACTAGGAATTATTGAAATTGTAGTCAAATAGAAAACGGGTTGTACATGTTCAAAAATATTCATAGAGATGCTTAAAATGGGAAAACCTTAGTTTTATTATTAAAATTTATTTAATTTTGAACAGTGATGGTTCAATATAGTTCTCCAATTTGATTAATGTGGAAATTACATATTAAGTTATGCAAATATCCAGCAATTCTGCCTCCACTGTTACTGGGGTAACCGAAATAAATTAACCAATCACATTTGAGGAACCAAACAATCATTTTAGAAAAATTCAAAGACGCCAATTGCTATCTTGAACTTAAGTGGGCAAAGGTGGCAAGGAATTTAAATATAATTCATGGCTCACTAACTGTAACTGGATAGGTTATTTCTGTTCAAGTGAACCTAGACTACGAGTAGTCCTCTTTTTTCGGCGAAGTCCGTCGCGCGAGTCCAAAACTTGTGCGAAAAAAGGAAAAAATGCTCTGGGAGTGAGTTGCACGAGGCCCACTTTACGTGCGCCTCAGTTCCAGAGTTCAAATTTTCATTGGCGGATTGCTGTTGCATCCAGTATTTGTTTTCAAAGGAGCAAAATCTCCTATATTATAAGGGAATAGAAAAAAAAAGATGAAAATAATTTGGACTTGTTTTTTTCAATGTTCAAAGCCAATTATCACGCGCTTTTTACACCAAGCACGTACACACGAAAATCACAGCTTTAATGCTCGTTTTTGTGATAAACAATTTTACGACTAAGTTTACAGTGACATCAATGGAAGATAATTGAATTTAAATTTATCTCAGAAGGCACCTCGAATGAAAGAAAAGAATCGGCTAATACACAGGGATAAACAAAGGAAACTCATTAAGGTCATTTCCTCTATTTACCTTTAGTGAGTGTTTCGCAATTAAATAAACTTTAATCTCGTAAACACCCCCGCCTCTGACGACGTACATACATACATACATACATATACCTACTCGCTTATTGAACACTTTTCTCAAAGCTTTTAATTTTTTTTTCACCTTTCTTTTTCGTGTCCGACCATAATTATTTGCGCAGGATGAAAAACGAGGATTTTTTTTTTTGTAAAGGAATAACAATTAGACGTTGGTGGCGTCATTTGGAATGACGTGAAAACGTAAATATTTCCGGCGCAACATTGACATACGTTTCCACCGACCAAAAGTAAGGATTTTGCTTAATTGTGATTAAAATTTTGCGTGATTGAAATGCTAATTGAGTGACTCATAATTTGTTGTTTCGTGTTTTCCTTATTTTTTCCTTTGTTTTTTTTTTTTTATTATTATTTTCACCGCGTCTTTCGATTCAAAGTTATTGAAATTTAAATTTTTACGAGTCTTTTATGATTGTTGGAAGTGTACTGCACAATAACTTTGTTGAGCCCGTGAGAAATGTTTTACGTTTTTCTTTACAAGACGACCGAGTCCTTAATTTACCATCTTTCAAACAGAACGCAGGACGTGTGTCAAGTATAAACATATTAATGGCGTAGTTCTTTGAAGTTCAGTGGTAGAGCATTGGAGCGCGATGGCTCATGGGAACATAGAATTTTTCCTTTTTGTCTCACGCTCCACGATAAAAACATAGTTCTTTAATAAGACTTTCATTACAAAAGGAAAAAATACAGCAAAGAGCTCTGAATAGTGCTCGGGGCTTGCTTGCGGTAATAGCTTTTTAGAAAATCTAGAGAAAAATTTTTCACCCCTTGCTTTAGTCGCCGAAACTATCTGTCATTAAGGGCTTTTCGTTTTTCTCAAACTGTAATTAGGATTTCACTACGAGAGAAACCGTTCATTACCAATAATTGTTTTTTCCACCAACTTGATACGGTTTTTCCGTTGTTTTGTTCTGGTATTTTCTCTCTTGTACCGCTCATGATTGTCAGCAATCTCCACGATTTATTTTTCGTCGTGGGGATTATCTAAAACAAAACTTAATGATCCTGTAAAAATTACAACATTCGACTAATGTTTGTCTCGACTTCATTCCTTTATCTTCCTTGGAAATATGATTAACTTATCTATGTGAAAGTTCAGTGTGGTGTTACACAGCGACTGATAAGGTGTTGATTGCCTTCTTTACTTTTACAAAACAGGTGGCTAGGAAGATTGTAAAGTTTTTAATTACGTTTTTCGCCTTTGAGAAGAGATAAACAGTTCATGTCCACTGAACTTGAAAAGTTGAAAATTCCTCTTCCTCCAATTTATACTCCATTTCTTTTCTGAAATTAAACTTTAAACTTTAAACTTTAATAATAAATACTCCCAAAAAGATTTTTCAGTACCTATTTACAAATATGAATGCTAACTCTAACTAACAAGCTATTGTTAAATTCTAAATTCTGTCACTCGATCATTCATTCATGGCAAGTTTCAGGACTTTCTTAAAGGCCTTTACAGATGTAACGTTTCTCAGGTCTTCGTCTAACATGTTCCACAGAGATACTGCTCTATAGGCAAAGGACCTTTGGCCGGTAGCTGATCTGAATAATGGAATGTCAATCTTCTCATTATTACGAGTTATGCGATTATAATTGGTATTTCAACTGACTTTTTTTTATTGAAACATTGAGCAATCGCCCTTTTTCCCCTGTGTATCAACGTTACTCTTAGAGTAGCTGGTTGTATGAAGAATTAAAAGTACTGAAACTGTGTAATTGGGTAAAAAAAAAAAAAAAAAAAAGCCTTCTTATTTTTAAAGTTAAGAAGATTGTTTACGAATCTTAGGCTTCTTGCGCTCATGACAAATGTTTAACTTTTTTTTTAATCGCCGACCGAGTTTGAAATTTGCCGTCTTTCAAACTGAACGTTTTTCTACACTGATTGTCGTAAGAGTATTTAGGGATTTTTGTCAAAATATAGACCTAAAAACGCAACCATCTCTGGTTAGAATCTTTCAATGACTCAGACCTATTTAAATATTTTCTTTCAGAGGATATAGCTAGGTACAATATAGTAATATGTTCTATTTGGCGTCTGGATTTGTAAAGCTCTTTCGTACTTTATAGTATTTCGTGTTCTATCGAATCAACTGCAACTGTAGCCTAGTTATCGGTTAATCAAACCTTCGCATTTTCTCTAATGAAAAAAAATTGATAACATCGTTCTGAGTCAACCAAGTAATGGTGAACTTAGCTCAATATTAAAAATTCATAAATCAACTTTTTGCATTTTCTCTAATGAATTAAAAATACAAAATGAGAATAACCTCTCCGAGTCAACGGTGAACTCAATTGAATTAAAAAATTGATAAATCAAATTTTTTTTTCGCTGAAGAAATTATAAAAAAATTGGTAAGATCTTTCTAAGTGAACTAGGTAACGGTCAGCTCAAATGAATTTCGAAAAGGGGGCAGGTTTTACCAAGAAACAGGACTTGTATGCTTCCGATTTTTTTTTTATTATTATTATTATTATTATTATTATTATTATTATTTATTTTTTCGTCCTTAGTGACTACAGCAGGCATAAGACCTTGGTGTAAATCTAGTTTCTGTTATTGTGGTTATATATGTACTTTCGGATTATCAATTCATGGAGTAAATATTGATATAAAGAATAATGTATTCATCCGTCTTAGAAATTGGATTACATTAGAATTTATCTAGTCCATGAAAATCTGTCTGTCAAAACATTTCCGTAAGAACATTTCGCATATGCATGGGAGTTGAAAAATCAAAGAATTCTTTTCATCATGATTTGAGTTTCCAGAGATGTGGCCATGAATTTGATTCGATTCAGAAAGAGCAGAAAAATCTTAAAAGGGATATCTATCTATATATATCTTTTTGTTTTAACATACGAAATGACTGACAAATATTCAAACCGGCTTTACCATGCTTCTCTAATTTGACGTGATTCGATAAGACAGCCCTCTAACTCGTTCTCCTATCTCATATGACATATCTGATTTATAGAGACGCTGAAACAGAACACGATCAAAAACCTATATATCTAAACTGTTAAGGTGGTGTTGAATTTAGGGGTGGAAATTTTCTTCTGTCCTTATCAATTACTTTAAAGTTTACATTGGTTCCACCATGCGTTAAAAGATCCACAAAAGAAAGACAAAATAAAACACAAAATAAAACACAAATTTCAAGAAGGATTATCTTTAAAGTAACACGAGAGAAGTTGCTCAGAAATTGGCATGTCTCATGTCAATATATTTGCTGTTGTTGTCGTTGCTCATTGAGCTAAAACTCAGTTTGATATCCTACACGCTTGTTCCGAAAGCTCATGGGAAGAAACAGGATTTTCGCTTGTCTCCCACCATCAAAACTTGGATTTTATTTTAAAACGTATTGTAATTAGGCCATGTGACTCATTTTTAAAGTTAAGTTATTTCACCTGACCGGCCGCATACCCAATTTTGTTTTCAATAAAACTTTTGTTTAATTTCTTCATCCGTTAAACATCAAACTCGGTGATAGAGATTTCTTATCGCTACACCATAGATATCAGGTCTTTTGTGGAATATCTTCGATAATTATTTTGCAGTAAAATTCATTCTTTTTAGATCAGTTGTAGTTAGCGCTCGACAGACGATTCCGTGTTAGATTGCGCGAATGATTTGCGATATTTTGCCAAGAGACCTACTCATTTTCTTTATCCGGCCAACGAAATAAACTAGAGATAACTCATATAGTTGAAAATGCGATAAGATGCAAATAACTGCATATAAATTCTTTCTTCGTATTGCGCGATAAGGACTGAAATTGAAAACTTTCTCATCAAGGGCTCGACAGTTCGTGTTTTAAAATCGCTCTTCATGTAAATAATCTTGCAAGAATGTCTTGGGGAAAAAGTATGAATTTAAGAGGAAAAGAGTTTTCTTAAAAACTCCATTTCTCTCCTTAACTGAAATAATTTTTTCATTTTCATATTAAGCTGCATATTACATTGTGTATTATCGCAGGTTTGACATTTCGACAGAATTAGACGATTTACTTTCGTTAATAACGCGTAAACTTAAGATTCAGAACAAAAAGTCACCTCTGACAATTATGCAAGCATTATCCGTGCAATTAATTATTTCGTAAACTCTGTCAAATATTAAGTAAACCTCCAATTCTTCTTTGAAAGAAAGCGAGGACCGTAAAAATCGCCCTAAAAAAGCGATATATTCGAGATTAGAACGAGTTTTACGCTGAAATCAAAACAGAGAATTGTTTTGAAAATGCTTTTTTTCAAAAAAGAACGCACCATGACATGTGTAAAGTGAAATCTGATTGGCTCCCGTTATAAAGGGGGAGTTAATTTCGGTAAATCCTCGCGCGCTGATTGGCCAATTTATAAGCTCGTGGTCCGCGCACTTTATGTAATGAAAAGATTATGCATACGAATGGCTTCCCGCCTTAATTTAGTAGCGGATTTACTTCATTTATTGGCTGGTGAGCACAAAACGGATGTTCAACTAACAAACGCTGCTCCTGTAAATTGTTTTTAGGTCAAAAACCTAAGCACTCGACCTAACTGATTACAATAACAGAGGCGCATCTGGAATTGATGGAAATGAATATGGAATCCGTTTGATATTCGCGGCTGGAATTTCAAGTTGACAAAAGTTTCAGTTCGCTTAGACTGTGTACTTAAATTTTTTCGAGGAGTTGCTGAAAGCGCAAATAAATTTATTTGAAAAGTAATTCGGATGATCGGCGGAAAGAATCGATTTGAGGTGATAACAAGGAATATTTAAAGATGAAAATATGAGCGGACTTGTGAACCGGCATACAAATTCTGGCCTCCAACTGAAGGCATCGAGTATTTTTGCTGAAGTGAATGGATTTGCAGCAAGAGTTTTAGCGACACTGACATATTACAACGATTGCGAATACGACGTTGAGGGGCTTTTTATTTTCCCGCAAGATGAAAGGGCTACGGTTGTTGAATTCGAAGCGACCATTGAGGAAAGACATGTTTCTACTCAAGTTTCGGAGACAATCACCCGGAACTCCGAAAAACACACCTTCGCTCTAGAAGAAAGAGATGATGATCTATTTTCGCTGAGTTTGGGGAGAATTCCTCCACTGACCTCCGTGTTTGTTCAAGTGACCCTGATTACAGAACTGGGAACGGATGAAGCAACCGGCGGATCATTGTTTATTCTACCGTCTGTATTCACCCCTCGCCTGACGAACGACGAAAATGAAGAAACAGATCTGTACGGCTCACAAATGCTTATTACCAACATTCCTCGCAAGACGCAAGAACCGTACAGTTTTGAGCTTCAGTTAGAAGTTGCCGCACCGTGTTTACTAGCCGGTTGCTCTTCTCGAACGCACGCTATCCAGGTTGACGCCGATTGCCGGGCAACGAACGCTTCCCGAATCCACATCACGATCGCGGAAGCGCACACTTACGATCGAGAACTCGAAGTTGTTCTTCATCTGTCACATCCTTTTGACCCTTACGTTTTGATCGAGGAAGGAAAGAAAGGTTTTAACTCATCACAGCGTGCTCAAGCGGAAATGGACCATTGTGCCAACCAGTCTGACATACTAGAAGATTTTCACAAAAATGCTGCTATCATGATCAACTACACACCAAGACTGCCCTCTGTACGCGGCATTGGCGAGTACATATTTCTAGTCGATCGTAGTGGAAGTATGAGCGGGGATCACATATTCCACGTCAAAGAAACATTGATTCTATTTCTCAAAAGTTTGCCGACAAACTGTTATTTCAATGTCATTGGGTTTGGTTCGTACTATAGGAGTCTTTTTCAAGACAGCCAGCCCTACAACGAGGCGAACTTGGGAACAGCCTGCGCTTATGTGCACAAAATGAGAGCCGATTTGGGTGGTTCCAACCTCCTTCTGCCCTTAGAATTTATCTTTGAAAAGCCGACAAAGCTTGGTGTTGGAAGAACTGTTTTCATGTTGACTGATGGAGGAATATCCAATACGGTAGAAGTGGTGGATTTTGTGCGTCGAAATTCCTATACAACCCGGTGAGTTTTTCAAGTTTATTTTTAATTCTCTCTAAAATGATTTTTGTTGAAAATTGATTTCACCAGGTGCCGGCCGCAGTTTGAAAAATTCGGCACTATTTATCTACAGTACAGGTGGAATTGCTGATGATTTCTTCATCCCTAACGAATGTTTTATTTTTGAACACAACCAAGGTGTGATCATACAGGCTTTTTTCAATTTAAGTGTTGCGGAAATGCACTATATTTTGTTTTGACATAATTGAGCTCGCTTAGATCATGAATTTCTCGATTTTCTCGATTTTTCCATGATCCTTTTTTCTCTAGTTTTATTCTGCACTTTGTGTCATAAACAATTGTGGAATGAGAAAGGCAAGCGATCTTAACCAACGATACGGTAAAATAAGCAGTTTCCACGGCACTAACTAACTAAAACAAAGCTTACTAACCGAGAGAGCACCTGAATTTTCGTATCCCCTTTTCGTCTCGTTCGTCGACATTTCGTCCATATTCAATATTTTAATAGTGTAAAACCATTAAGTAAACCACTCCAGTTGTCATGTTTGTAAGTAGCATACGATCCTCGAAGCAATTTTGTAGTTACATTATGTCAATGTAAACATTTCCAATATTTGAACTGTTGTAAGGCAAGACCTACTTTTTTCCAAGACTTTTCGAAGTGGGCATTGTTCAGGCAGGCTTTTGCATGCTCAAGATTTATCCATCTTGCTCATATAATCGACATGGTAAACCGAGTTTTCTTCCTTTTAAAATGGTTTTCAAAAAGTTTGTTTTGAATTTAAAACACAAATTCATTGCATAAAGACAATGAGTGTTTTGAAACTGGGAAATATCTATTTCACTTCTTTTGTCGCAAAATTCGCTTAGATCGCTCGTGTTCCATAAAGTTTCGTTTAGATTTTAAACTTTATTAAAATCGCCTCAACGATCGGCGGGCTTATGAGATAGGATTTTTGAAGTTTTGAAAGCGAACGAAGACAATACTAGAATAATCATCTGTCAAAAGTGAGCTCGAAGTTTGAGTTTTCAACGCGAAATGATTTATTCTAGTCTGATGCGGAAGGTTTTTTTTTGAAATATAGACAACGCGAGAATCTCCTTCAGAATATATTTTTTTTGGTTATTTCATGGGAAACTGAGGAATACTCAGTGACCTTTAAGAGAACTTGCGGTTACTTATGTTCGGTCTTGTGCGATTATTTAAAGTGGCCAGAGTGTGATAAACACCTTGAATATTTTCATGCCGTTTAATAAACTTTGAATTAATTTTTATTTGCTTATACATAATATCAATTTCATGGTATCTTGTGATCGGAAAGTTTGTGTGGACGGGGAAACAAATATTCGTAAATTTGAATTTCTGTCTCAGACTGGGAAAATGACACCTTGGAAATGGTTTTTATCAAGTCTAAATTGATGATTTGAATGAATCTTTCGCAACTGATATCTTCATGTTTACGAAAAACAGTAGATAAATATTTCCCTCCGAGCACTGCTTTCGATAAGTTGATATCTCTACCGGAACAAAACTTCTTTTCAAATCTTCGAATGCAAAATTAAACATGTGTAAACTAATTCTGGACGCATAGCAGGCTCACAGCGTGGTTTGCATGCGAATTATTCTTTCAAACAAAAGGGGATAGTTGGAACAGGTGGTGTCATTTGAAAGATCAAGCGAAAATAGAGAATTTGATCCTGAAGATTGGACCGGACGTGGCCAATCTCAGTAAGAAAGACCTGCCGTCGCAATTACTCATCCGCCATGCGTCACTTTTGGAGGTTAAAATGAAATCGGTCATTGACTATTTGGGAACTGCTTTTAATAATTAGATTCGCCTTTCGCACGAAATTTTCTTGCGAATTGGAAAGAATTGTTATTCACAGAGTTCAAAATGTTATTAATGCACTTCGAATGTAGACATATGAAATAGTTTTCAGCCCCCCAACCTGGATTACAAAAGTTTTCGAAGTGTAATTAATTTTGTTTTTCTATTTTTCCTATTACTGATTGCGAAATATTTAGCTTTTAAAAAGTCGCCGGTTTTTTCGGTAAAACAACTTTAATCTGTCGCCATAATAAGAGAGATTTTAACGACTTCTTTCAAAGCGTTTGCACAAGAGCCACCCGACATTTCATCAAAAATGTTTTTGGCAGTTCCTACAGTAAATTTAATTAACCCATTCTTGGAAAAGGAGGTCATTTACACTATGGCGTGAAGCGAAATTCAAACTGACTGTCGGGCTCTTTATATGACGGACGTCAATGCAACAGCTGCAACTAGGCGTTGTTTGAATTTTAAGGAACCCAATTCTACCAAAAATACAAAAATAAGTTCATCTATTTATTGTAGAACACCATTTGCCAAGAACACTTATTATTTGCAAGTTATGATAGAATTACGCCATATACTTTTTCGAGGAGTTTATGAGTACCGAGAGATACGTACCTACGAAAATTGAACACATTATGTTTTCTGTAAGGGTAGACTGAATTGACAATGGTGTCATAAGACTAAAAGTAAAAGCGTTTTTTTTTTTTTTTTTTTTTGAAAAGGAAAAAGAAGAAAAGAACCGCCGTCAAACCAGGCTAAGTAGAAAAAGGAGATACAATGAATATATGAAGTTCATATATTTTGAACTGCGGTATTAGATACGAATGATGCACGATCCTCGCAGTAGATAGCGCTATTTATGCAATAGCGAAAATCAGACCTGAAAAAAATCAGGCCTGTACGGGACTCGAACCACTGACCTCTGCGATACTAGTGCAGCGCTCTACCAATTGAGCTAACAAGCCAACTGGGAGCAGGCCGTTAAGTTGATTCGTAATAAACCCGTGAAAGTGATAAATGAGATACAATGAATATATGAAGTTCATATATTTTGAACTGCGGTATTAGATACGTATGATGCACGATCCTCGCAGTAGATAGCGCTATTTATGCAATAGCGAAAATCAGACCTGAAAAAAATCAGGCCTGTACGGGACTCGAACCACTGACCTCTGCGATACTAGTGCAGCGCTCTACCAATTGAGCTAACAAGCCAACTGGGAGCAGGCCGTTAAGTTGATTCGTAATAAACCCGTGAAAGTGATAAATGAGATACAATGAATATATGAAGTTCATATATTTTGAACTGCGGTATTAGATACGTATGATGCACGATCCTCGCAGTAGATAGCGCTATTTATGCAATAGCGAAAATCAGACCTGAAAAAAATCAGGCCTGTACGGGACTCGAACCACTGACCTCTGCGATACTAGTGCAGCGCTCTACCAATTGAGCTAACAAGCCAACTGGGAGCAGGCCGTTAAGTTGATTCGTAATAAACCCGTGAAAGTGATAAATGAGATACAATGAATATATGAAGTTCATATATTTTGAACTGCGGTATTAGATACGTATGATGCACGATCCTCGCAGTAGATAGCGCTATTTATGCAATAGCGAAAATCAGACCTGAAAAAAATCAGGCCTGTACGGGACTCGAACCACTGACCTCTGCGATACTAGTGCAGCGCTCTACCAATTGAGCTAACAAGCCAACTGGGAGCAGGCCGTTAAGTTGATTCGTAATAAACCCGTGAAAGTGATAAATGAGATACAATGAATATATGAAGTTCATATATTTTGAACTGCGGTATTAGATACGTATGATGCACGATCCTCGCAGTAGATAGCGCTATTTATGCAATAGCGAAAATCAGACCTGAAAAAAATCAGGCCTGTACGGGACTCGAACCACTGACCTCTGCGATACTAATGCAGCGCTCTACCAATTGAGCTAACAAGCCAACTGGGAGCAGGCCGTTAAGTTGATTCGTAATAAACCCGTGAAAGTGATAAATGAGATACAATGAATATATGAAGTTCATATATTTTGAACTGCGGTATTAGATACGTATGATGCACGATCCTCGCAGTAGATAGCGCTATTTATGCAATAGCGAAAATCAGACCTGAAAAAAATCAGGCCTGTACGGGACTCGAACCACTGACCTCTGCGATACTAGTGCAGCGCTCTACCAATTGAGCTAACAAGCCAACTGGGAGCAGGCCGTTAAGTTGATTCGTAATAAACCCGTGAAAGTGATAAATGAGATACAATGAATATATGAAGTTCATATATTTTGAACTGCGGTATTAGATACGTATGATGCACGATCCTCGCAGTAGATAGCGCTATTTATGCAATAGCGAAAATCAGACCTGAAAAAAATCAGGCCTGTACGGGACTCGAACCACTGACCTCTGCGATACTAGTGCAGCGCTCTACCAATTGAGCTAACAAGCCAACTGGGAGCAGGCCGTTAAGTTGATTCGTAATAAACCCGTGAAAGTGATAAATGAGATACAATGAATATATGAAGTTCATATATTTTGAACTGCGGTATTAGATACGTATGATGCACGATCCTCGCAGTAGATAGCGCTATTTATGCAATAGCGAAAATCAGACCTGAAAAAAATCAGGCCTGTACGGGACTCGAACCACTGACCTCTGCGATACTAGTGCAGCGCTCTACCAATTGAGCTAACAAGCCAACTGGGAGCAGGCCGTTAAGTTGATTCGTAATAAACCCGTGAAAGTGATAAATGAGATACAATGAATATATGAAGTTCATATATTTTGAACTGCGGTATTAGATACGTATGATGCACGATCCTCGCAGTAGATAGCGCTATTTATGCAATAGCGAAAATCAGACCTGAAAAAAATCAGGCCTGTACGGGACTCGAACCACTGACCTCTGCGATACTAGTGCAGCGCTCTACCAATTGAGCTAACAAGCCAACTGGGAGCAGGCCGTTAAGTTGATTCGTAATAAACCCGTGAAAGTGATAAATGAGATACAATGAATATATGAAGTTCATATATTTTGAACTGCGGTATTAGATACGTATGATGCACGATCCTCGCAGTAGATAGCGCTATTTATGCAATAGCGAAAATCAGACCTGAAAAAAATCAGGCCTGTACGGGACTCGAACCACTGACCTCTGCGATACTAGTGCAGCGCTCTACCAATTGAGCTAACAAGCCAACTGGGAGCAGGCCGTTAAGTTGATTCGTAATAAACCCGTGAAAGTGATAAATGAGATACAATGAATATATGAAGTTCATATATTTTGAACTGCGGTATTAGATACGTATGATGCACGATCCTCGCAGTAGATAGCGCTATTTATGCAATAGCGAAAATCAGACCTGAAAAAAATCAGGCCTGTACGGGACTCGAACCACTGACCTCTGCGATACTAGTGCAGCGCTCTACCAATTGAGCTAACAAGCCAACNCACTCACCCGGACGATCAGACTACACCTTCAAATTACAAATTGTATTACAAGGAAATGTGTAGCAGCTAGAGGGGAGAATTCACAATCAGATCTTGGCAATTAAATGATTAAGGCGTCACGATACAACATTTTTCAATACAACATTTTTCAATACAACATTTTTCAAAACCTACTATCACTGCAACCCAAGTATTCACAGCTCATTATGGACCCATCCGAACACTAAACAGAAAAAAACACACATCCAAAGGCAAACGCGAGGATACGCAACTGAAACCATGTCAAGGACAGTTTCGCTGAAAAAGTGATAGAATCTCCTCGTCTTCCCCCCCCCTGGAACGAGAATAACATTTTGTTTTGTTTGCGCGCTTCGCGACTTTGCCAATTTCTAAACCAAAATAAACGTTAGCGAGCTCATGGCTTTTTTTTTAATTTTTCTTCCCTCTTGGAAGAGCCGAAAAGAACTATTCATTGTTTTTCAGAATCTCCACCACAGCCCCCTTCCTCCCCCGGAACGAGAATAACATGTTGTTTTGTTTTCACGCTTCGCTACTTGGCCAATTTCCAGATCAATACAAACGTTAGCGAGCTTATAGCTTTGTCTCCAATTTTTCTTCCTTCTTTGAAGAGCTGAAAACAACTATTCATTGTTTTGCTTACTGGAGGTATTTTTTTCTTTTGTGTGCTTTCAGGTTCTATACATTTGGGATTGGACCAGAAGCTTGCCCCCATTTGGTTCAGGGCGTGGCCGGTGCTGGCAGAGGGCAAGCCTATTTTATAGCGGATGATGAGCGGATGCCAGTCAAAGTAAATATACATTTACGTCTATATCCTATAGAGAAATCCTTAGGCTGGTTTTTTTTTTAAAAAAAAAAAAACTCCTGTTCTTTCCCTCCTTTAAATCAATGAAAACCAACCCGATGTGGTAACCCGCGCTTCAGACCCGTCACGCGTGTTTACCTTGACGAAGGGCTAACGCTCGAAACGTCAGCTTTTGTAATCGTTACGGTGGCCAATCTACCATTTCAACTTTGTTGATATATCCAAATTATTTCGTTACTCCCACCGACGCAGCCCCAAACAGTTTCTTTCGAAACTATCGGCCTTTAGTCATTTGTACCTTGAGCTCTGATTGGTTCCTTACGAAGTTTTCCTTTGTTCTAATTGGCTGTTGTGATCAGCCTCGTTCACAAGGCCTTTTGATTTTCCCGCCCTTTCTCAATTCTTCTGAGAAAAGCCCTGGGCGTGGACCTGCGCTGTGCTTGAGTTTGTTTTATTTCTACTTAACTCGATGGACCTGCGCTTTCATGCAGATCAGAAGAGCGACTTGCTTACCATTATTGACAGTCAATAAAGCTTCTTTTTTTCCTCATTAATCCTTTCTCCCCTAAAAGTGACTTTCACGTAGTTTCTTCCAACAATATCAACCTAGAATCAAACATTAGGGTCATACGAATGAAGGAAATGATCTTCAACGTACGAAGGTCTCGATTACCGAACCACAGGAAATGCAAGGAAAACAGTAGAGTGAATATGCAGACCAATTTTAGGATGTGACGGGTTAGATGCTCAATTGTAAGTTACTACTCCAGAAGATGATGAAATTGTGACTGTGACTCCCTTTTGGTTTGCGCCTTGTTGCGCCTCTTTGCGGTCTACTTCTTTCTCAGTATGCGTTGCATATTTAGTACACGCTTTCTAGAAAAATCGAAAGCGTGCAGCGCATGGAGTGCGAGAAGTGTGATAGAGTATTCTTTTGATACTCTTTGACGAAGACTGCCTGCTTTTTTAAAAAAGCTCCTTTTTTTTCTGTTCTTAGGTGATGCAAGCTCTGGCAGATGCACTTCAGCCCGCGATTACGGACCTAGAGGTCAGCTGGCACCTTCCTGACGGTTATGACGTCATACAAACCCCTCAACTTTTGCCATTCGTACAGAGCAATAAACGCCTTGTGATATACGGCATCCTGTATCGGCCCCCAGGGGACGAAAAAGAATCTCCGAGAACACCCATCAAGCGGAAAATGGACTGGAGTATGAGGTCGTTTTCAAACAGCTCTGTCAAAGTTTTTTGGTTCGAGGACGAGTGTGATCTCCTAGCGGAGGACCAGCTGCTGCTAGAGGCAGAGGAATCGCTTCATTTGAGCGGAGATGACTTTGAAAAAGAAGATGTTTATAGAGATGAAGGAGGGCTTCCAGTGCAGGAGAGCTTCGATGCTGACATGGAAAGCGTGCCTGAACCAGATACAATAGAAGCCCTCGCTGATGGTCTTCTTAAACGCATGTACAAGGGACTTAGCCAAGAAAAAGATGACGAAGCTGAAGATGGCAAAGCGCAATCCTCAGACAAACTCCAAAATAAGGAACATTGCGAATCATGTGGCGCCGAAGAGGAGGATTCCGTCACAGACAAGCCGTCGAACAACTCTGAAGTACGCGAACGGAATATTAATGCTTTGCACTTTACCAATCACAGGCCGGCAAACACTTTATTTCAGGACAACGTGTCGGACGGGTTTATCAGTGCTGTTCAGAGGAGAGAAGAATTTCCCAAAGACGAAGATCTCGCTGATAATTCCCATGAGCACCAGCGATCGCCAAAGCTTGCGCGCGCCTACGAGCGTGACAGCGGTGTTGGTTTCAGCATGGAAGACAGTGACAAAAGTCCCGATGAAGGCAAGAAAACTATAGCAGAGCTAGACGGAGAGGTCGATGAAGAAGATGAAGAAGCATACGCTTTGTTTCGGACCAGTGGCAGTCCTGCCTTGGAGGAATTTGACTGCTCAAGACAAACAGCTGTCCACATTTACAAAAACAGCGAATTCCTGTCGCAGCTTGGCGTGCCAGCCGACTTTGGTGCGGTCAACATTAAGGGTTTTCTCGGGGACGAGGAGATAGAACAAGTCATTCCATTTCCGGTGAACCGATGTGGTGGTTCTTCAAAACGTCCCACAATCCACCAGCTGCTGGCACGTTCGCTCATCCGGGAACTGCAGTCGTCCATAGAGTCAAAGAGTGTGGAGACCATGGAAGTCGTAAAGAGGATTAGTGAGCTGTCTAGTGTACATTCTAGGCACACAGCGCTAGTAGCACGTGACCAATATTGCTATGACGACCAGGTTTTGAGTGCGTTGCAGTTCCCTCAGAAAGAAAACATTCCAGGCTTTGGGTGAGTGGAAAACTGATATGACACACCATCGTTTCTACAACAAAACAAGAAATTTATTTAGACTCCATGGTCAGTGATGCTGGAATTTAAATGGTCATTGCGCTTAATTCCATTATATTTTTGTTGTTTTTTTTAAAGGAGTCGCAAAGTTAAAGTACCGGAACGAGGTTCCGGATTCACAGAGGGTCTGGGCCGACGTCTCCCTAGTCCAGATGGCAGTGACCAGGATATCTCGCCATATTTTGCCGAGGGAGGAACTAACTCTGCTCACGAGTCTGGGGAAGAACCTTTGGATTTTTATCGCCTGGAGCGAACGGGTAAATAATTTGTTTTTTTCATTTCCATCGATGGATGAACCATTAAATTTGTTCTTGGTAGTGAAAAGGTTGAATAATCAATGAGAAGCATGATTTTTTTAAGTACTTATGCACAGTACTTTGCGTTTTGAAGGTACTCCAGAAAGTCAGCCCGAAGAAGGTGGACCACGAAAAGATGGCGACAGTTCCCTTTCATCTCCCAGTAGAAGTCCTCGCAAACAAGTCCCTCCTTTGTCCACGAGATGTGTGCTAGGTGAAAGGCAGCAAAATCCTTCAAAAGTCAAACCCAAACTCCTCGACTCCTCAAGCTTAGACACCTATTGGTGTTCTGGGGTCAAACAGCATTTGTCTTTTGTACGCATGGTCAGTTTGCAGTATGCTCAGGGAAACTGGAACCTAGATTCTGTTTTCGCGGAGATCCTGGGGCTGCCACTCTCCGGCCTCCAACAAGCCTCTCCGCTGGCCGACCACTCTGTTTTTGTCGCGGAAGATCTTCAAGAGCTGATGAATTCCGATAAGTACGACAACACTTCACAGCTGTGGGCTACTTCGCTTGCGTTGAGCTGGTTACATCGCAAGAGACCCCAGTTCGAGGCCGAGTGGAGTCTGGCAGCGAAAAAGGCCCAGCTTTGGATGGACGGAACGGGTTGTCCGCGCGGCTTCTCGAGGGATGATTTGAAAGCTCTCGCCTATCAAGCACTTCTCTTGCTCGAGACAGAGTCGCGGAAAACATCAGTCTGCGGTGCACCCGAAGGGAAAATAGGTGCCTGTGAATGAACTCTATTTTAAAGTAGGAAGCGAAGGGACTAGTCAGTTTTATCCCCGGGGAAGCGGGGGGCGTTGTTGATGGATAATTTTAGTTGTGTTACGATAAAATGATTCCCCCAATAAGGCTCTGTAATATTCCTGTTCCCCCCTCCCCTCCCCCCTCATTGGCGGCTAATTATAATTGGTAGTCAATCTACCATGGTCTTCCTTTCATACTCTGTTGGTGACGAATGACTACCCCTCCGTTCCCTCTGACGACCATGTGATCCCAACAAAATCCTACCTCTCCCGCCCCCCCTCCGGCGATAAATCATGACTCGTCTGTCAGACAAAACGGATCTTAAAAGAAATGTGTGCTCCTCAAAACATATCAGTTTTACCTCCATATTCAAAACATTTTCCAAGAATTATGGCGCTAACCACTATTGACAATCCAAAGAACAGCCTAAACTTCTGCACTTATATCAAGAATGACTTTGATGTTGACTTAGGTACCAGGCCGCTAATCTGTGACGTAACGTACCTCTTTTCCATTTGTTACACCTCTCTGACCGACGCAAAAAGACATTCTTGCCGCAATTTGTCTTTAGTGGCGGGGATTAGAATCGTAATGTTCCGGAGTATACTTCTTCAGCGCTTTCGCATAACAATGCTTTTCACTTTACCGAGAAAACGTTGGCGGTGAAAAATTAGGAAAGTTTTCTTGCCTGTTCTTCGATCAATTGTTCATTTAGGAGTTATAAGAAGACAAGAGATTGCTGGCAGTCTCGCAAATTTTTTCTTTTTTTTTTTTTATTCACTGCAGCTTAAGACCATTATTGTACATACTCTTGTAAGTGAGAAAAACAGGATGATAATTACGCCGGAGAACTCGTAAGAGAAATTTGAGTCCTAAGAGTCATTTTCTGTCGGGCGTCCAAAGTAATCCGTGACAGTGTTTGGTCCAGAAAACTCGCGCTACTCTCTCAACCAGTCAGATGAAATACTGAAACCAATCACGTTTTGGTCGCCCGTGTTTTCCCGCGCTTCAGGCGGTTTGTTTGCTTTTACTTCGATTTCTCATAGGCCCTTTAATATATTTTCCTCAGTTTTTTAGCTTGGAAAAGGTTCTGGAAAATCCCTGGGGGAGGAGGCCTATGAAAAAGAGGCAAAAGGTCAACAACTTAAATTCGTGACTCCAAGAAGAATTATTTCGCATCATTAATCAATGAGAATCAGTCAAATTATAAACAGCTTTTTAAGATAATTGATAAACTACTACGATGGAAAACAGATATTCAATATCCCCCCTGCAAATCGCCCACTGATCTTGCCAACAAGTTTATTGAGTACTTCAATACAAAGATAGATAGAATACGGGGTCATATAACGACTGCTGCTTTCTCTCATCGAGATACAGTTCCTGTTGTTGACAACGCCTGTCCATATTCTTTTGATATTTTCAAAACGGTAACAGCGGACGAAGTTCATACATGTATCATGAATCTGGCTGCTAAGTCATGTGCTCTTGATCCTCTTCCTGGTTATGTTACAAGAAATGCACTTTTAACCCACGGGCAGCTCATTTCCAGCGTCACAACTCTCTTGCACATATGATTTACAATGCGTGCATCCACCCTATTATTATTATTATTATTATTATTATTATTATTATTATTATTATTATTATTATTATTAAGAAAGCGAAAGCCTGGTAACCAGATTAACCCGAATAGCAACCGTGCGCTAAATGTCCGATTACTGTAGAGGGCTATTCTAGGGGAGGATGTAAATAGCAAATTATCTAAGAGCCACTGTGTTGCACGTTAATTGAACTTCGTTTGTCTAATTGGATTATAAATAACAGTCTGCACAAGTATCATTTTGCAACACCAAAGCTAATCACACGCAACCGACTGAAGTCGAACAATAACAATAAATTAACTTTTGGCAGATCAGAATTTTGTCAGGAAAGGATTGATGTTTATTTCTTATATTATTAGATATCTTTATTATTTTTATTATTTTTGTTCCTGGCTTTTATTTTATTTCGATTATTTTATTTTCAGACACTTCATTCCCTGGAAGGCTAAATTGTCGAAGAAACACCTGGGATTTTTGACTTTGTTAAAAAATAAAATTATCTTTCCTTGCAGCCTGTAGTCTGCACAGTATTATTCTTGTCCTACCTGTTCTGCCCTCGAGCAAAATAATGAATCTTTTTTTTTTTTACGCATTTAGGTAGATTTTGACAGGTAGATTTCAGCGATATCTCTCGATTTCTTTTTAAGCTTAATAAGTTTTATGTTTTGTAAGGAAATAAAACACGACCATTTCATTTACGATGTCTCAGTGCTATACGTGCATGTTAACTGACTTCGTTGGGTGTTATTGTCTACTGCCTTTCCTTTAAACTTGACATGATATCGAATGTTCAACCTTGATTTATGTACAGAGGTCAGCGCATTTCACTGAAGGTGTAAGATTTTGCGGCGTTTTCAGCTGGATTTGTTAATTCCTTTTTGAACGAAGACTGTCTGAAAATCTGCAAATACTGAACCCGAAATTTGGTGTTGTACGCGGTGGAACACGAACAAGATATAGTTTAACCTCACTTCCTGATTGACTTCTCTTCCCAAAGTGAACTCGAAATCCATTTATCATTGAATTTTACGGGGGCAGGAATCGGGGAAAGAATCGAAACTTGAAAAATCTGAAGGCAAAATTAACAAAAATATTTCATTGTGATACGTTGAAAAAGCCGGCAATGACCTTTACTTTTTGAGACGTTTCTATTTTTTCTTTTTTTGACCCACCATGTCATTTTCCAAACTCTGGATGTGCCGTGAGGTTGTGCGGTTTTGACACATCAGTCCTTTAACTTTCGTTCTCAATCAGTCCCTGCTGAAGGAAATCACAAATGTAACGCGACAAGCATTCTCCTCCTCTTGAGAGAAAATGAAAGAAGCTTTCAGATCATTCTTTCTCTTTTTCAAATAGAGAGGACCTTTTTTCAGGTAAGTACCACAATTGGGATTGACAGATCACAGGCAGCCCAAGCTCACTACAAGAAAAGCGGACGCGAGTCTTACCGTGTTGCGTAACGTTTTATATTTATAAAGGTTTGTATGGGATGTTATCGGTTTGCCTTAAAAGAGAGAAAAAAAATGTCTTGTTTTGAAATAAAATGGGCTTACCTTATTGCCTTGTTGTTTTCTTTGTTGATTCCGAGCGTCTCAGGCCATTTTGAAGCGTTTTCGGCGAGTTAGCGCTATGTTGGTGTTCAACTGCTAAAAGAAAGTCTTTCTTTTAGCAGTTGAACACCAACATAGCGCTAACTCGCCGAAAACGCTTCAAAATGGCCTGAGACGCTCGGAATCAACAAAGAAAACAACAAGGCAATAAGGTAAGCCCATTTTATTTCAAAAAAAGACATTTTTTTTCTCTCTTTTAAGGCAAACCGATAACATCCCATACAAACCTTTATAAATATAAAACGTTACGCAACACGGTAAGAGTCACGTCCGCTTTTCTAGTAGTGAGCTTGGGCTGCCTGTGGACAGATGAAAACTGTTAGGATTTCGGAATTAATAGAAAACTTCGGCCAGAATGGCTCCATATAGTCTGTTAATCCTCGGGAAGGAAATCTAATGGGCAGAAAAATAGCTCAGCACATGCGTTTTAAAATTCTTTGCATTTCTCTGCCGTCCTCTGCAAAACAAGAACATGAGATCACCAGAAATTGCGTAGCTTGTGTACGGAAACTCCGACGGCAGTGCAAATTTGTTGAGTTTCCATTTGGAACTCAACGCTGCTAACGGCATACGTAACGCTCAAGTGGAGGGGTGGTACTAGAAATTCGCGAAATTCTAACTAAAAAAGTTAAATTTATTTTCAAGCGACGTCCTTCTCGGCGTTGCTATCCTGACTGCTAAGGTGCCGTTTAGCAAGAGACAGCGCAATGCAGTACGCTTCATGCCCGACGAACGAGAGTACGTGACTTTTTCTTTTGAAGCCCCAAGCACGTGCTCAGGGAAAATGCGTCGGAAGCTAAAATCCTTCAACACATGGCTACATTCTGATTCAATAAAATCGGATTCTTCGCCGAGTTTCCCTTCTTCAAGGAGAATTTCTCCTTCACAATTCAATTTAACGCAGAAGTCATCGAATAAGGGCTTTAATACTAGGGAAACTTTTTTGGTAAAGTTCATTTCCATGAGCACGTGTGTTTATCTTTCACTACTGATCAACCTATATCCGTTTCAGATATTAAGGTATGCTTTCAGTTATAACTCTCGGTATCGACAAATCTTGACTGACGGCTGCAGCGCTCGGGGACAGTGAATATTTCAGCAGGAGATCAAAGCAGCAAGTAAGTATTCGAAATTTTAATTTTGGGACATCTTATTGCCAAATTCAGGAGGTTTTAGACGCTAGAAAATTTACTTGCCAGTTTCGAGAGAAACATCATCCTATATTCAGCGAGAAATCAACCTAGAGATTCGTTCGATTTGCATATGAAGTCAGTGGATACATCGCGAAAGTCTGGATTGAAACCTTTGCATAGAATAATTTTCTCAACTAGATAAACGCAAAAAAAAAGCAGGAATAAACTCAAAACGGTACAACGATGGTAAAGAATCTATAAGATCATGACACGGATTTTAAATAAAATTTATTAAAATACATGCTCTAAGATGCAGAAATTGTACAATACGGCTTCTTTTTTCACCGACACTTAGCTAATTTCAGCTATGTATTACTACCGTCGCGGTTGCTTGAGTTTCATTTATAATTTATTTATTTGTTACCTTAAGATAATACCGAATGCGATAAAAATGAAAACAAAACAAGGTACACGATCCCCTATCACGTCACCCTTCGTTCTATTTCAATCCTCACTGGCAAAGTACTTTAAGAACATCAATCGCTGGCGTGCACTCACGTGCCTTACGTTCACCTTGGCTTTCACGGAAAGGCAGGTATACATAGAGGTCTTGGTTCCCCGTTTTTATAGGAAATACGTCAAGGAAGGCTTAAGTTATAATGACATCACTAAGATTGAATCTCAGTATTTTTTCTTTCAAATTGTAAATTGAAATTGTAATTTTATCTCATTAATATGTTCTGCTTCTGCTGTAAAACTTCATGCCGCGGTTTTTAATCGAACCTTGAAAAGTAGAACCTTCGCTACTCGAAAACGAGTCGTTTTTCCTTAGATTTCCATCATTAATAAGTTATTTTTCATCGGTCCCAATAGCTCGAACCCCCTCAAACTAAATTCGAAACAATTTTCGTTTCCCTGAAGGTCATTTTTTCAATCTTATCCTTGATCACTCGAACCGTATTAGTCAATTTGTGGCAGGTCAAAACAAATTGTATTGATTTGTTTTTGTCTTGCATTAAACAAAACGACTATCATTCGAGTTCAGATTTCGCTCGTTGATAACACCATCGCACCGCATTTTGATTAAGCTTTTTTGTTTAACTCCTCCGAAACTTCATAAATTAGCTCAGGGATTCCATGCTACAATTAAGGAAAGTTTATCAATATATTATATATTTTACAAATATAGGTACAATGGGCATCGATTATCTCCTATTTCCTGTCGTTAGTTTTCAACTTCCCGTAGTTAATACCTTTTTATAATTAAATTTCCTCCGAAGGTTTGGGTTCAGATCAGAGGTCGCCTTTTTCACCTTCTCTTCTGGGTAATGTCTTTTCTCTTGTTTGTTTTCTTTTGTTTTGATTTTGAACTCGTACGATTATCACTCACTAAGAGGTCAAATTGTAACTCGCTTATAATTCCTTTTGCGACGTTTGTAGTGCTGAAAGTCGATCAATAAGTTGGGCACTCAGTTAAATCCATCATTCTTAAAAACTTTAAATTACTTCAAAACGATCCAGAGACAAGCACTATCTTTTCGCAACCTCCGCTCATTTCATTCAAACGCGACAAAAACATCGGCGAAACAGGCAGAAGACTAGGTGACCGATTCTGAGAACACCTTCGCGACGTGGAGAGGAATGACAAGGACACATCGAAACCAGTCGC